TTTACATATAGAAAGGACTGGAAACCCTGCTACCAAACAATGCCCATGTTCAATGGGATGCAGCTAAGAATGAGTCACTGCCCTTATTTCTGAAGCATCAGTGTTTCCTTTCTCTCAGGAGGAAATTTTAGGTACTTAGAACAGGGAATAGGGGTTAACCACAGATCAACCACAAAGAACATAGGAAATGCTCTGGCTTGAAAGGAGAGTCTAGTAGAAGGAAAGATAGACCAGAGGACTTTTACTAAAATCAGGCATGCACCGATAAGAATAGAATTGATCTTATGTGATCAGGGAACTGATCATAATTCCACTAAAATAAATCAGCATTTTATGAGGGTGAGTCAAAAATTATCAGCACTCCGACTGTAGAATGTTTTTAATAATTTTTAATCAACTTTAGAAGAAAATTTTTGACATAATTTCCTTGCTTTTAAACATGCTTTGTTCATTTGTTAACAAGTTTTCATATTCCCTTATTAAAAAATATTTTAGGCTGAGTTTCGAGTCACTCATGCACTTCTGACTTCTTTCTTCATTAGAGGTGGAATTTTGTCCTCAAAGGACTGCTTTCAGGGGACCAAGCAAGTGAAAGTAGGATGAAACAAGATCAGGACTGTAGGGAGGATGTTGACAGTGTTCCAACACTGACCCTTGAGAATCCCAGAAGATTATAAGAATCAACTTTCCAGCTGATGGTTGAATTTTGAACATTTTTTAAATTGGTGACTGAGGATGATTGCATTCCATACTCTGCCATTTCCTCTCAGGTTCAGTGATGAATCCATGTCTCATCACCAGTTGTTGTTGTTGTTGTTGTTAAGTGCCATCAAGTCGGGTCCGACCCATAGCCCATCACCAGTAGTGGGTTTTTATTTGAAGAAACTTACCTTCCATCAGGTATCAGTTCAAATTTAGTTTGTAGTTATCCAAACACTTCTGTTTATGTTCTTCCGTGAATTGTTTCAGTACCAATCTCACACAAACTTTTCTAAATCCATGTCTGTCATGGATTATTCATAGGCCGAATCATGACTTATTTGCCACATAGTCCACTGTCACTGATCTATTCAACAGAAACATTTCATGTGCATGTTCAATGTTGTCTTCAGTTGTGGACCTGGATGGGCATTTTAATATAACCTGTGTATGGATAATTTTTGACTCACCCTCACAGTTAGCTCATGAATACAATTATAACAGTCTGAGGTAAAAAGAAAGAAGTACATCAGACCCAGAAAGAAATGAAAAATTATGTGGCCTAAATTATGATAGGAAAATATAGGAATCAGGAGATAATTATTAGGAGACCTTGAGCCTGTCATGAAGGAAAACAGCATGAAAAGTGAAACCAGGGACTCACTCGACACTCCCCCTCATTTGACAAGTGAAAGCCCATTCTGCTCTCTGCGAGAATGTCTCTGCTTTTCCATGCTATTTTTATTAAATTTTCTTACTTGCTTAGACCTCTATGTCTCTGGGTCCTTTGGTATGCATATCGTAACTACTCCCAACCAATTCTTTGAAGGGACAGTAGGACCAAACATACAGCATTCATGCTATATATTTATCAGTTTTTTCACCAGTTCAAAAACCCAAATGTTCTTTGGGGAAAGGAAAGAAATTCCTTACTTTTATTTATTTATTTTAAGAGTTAGATGACTTGGGTTCTTGTTTGGATAGTACTGTGTTGGTAACCTTAATCTAGCTGATTGCTACAGTCAGAGAAATTGCAGGACTATTTTGAGGTTGAAAAACGAAAAATGTATTTGAAAACAATAAGGCATATTAACAAAACATAAGTTATCTAGGAAATTTTGTTGTTGTTGTTAAGTACCGTGGAGTCAGTTCCGACTCATAGTGACCCTGCACAGGGTTTATGGGAGGCTGCAAATCTTTATGGGAGCAGAAAACCTCATTTTTCTCCCATGGAACAGCTGGTAGTTTTGAAAAAAAAAAAAAAAAGGGGTGGTTTTTTGTGTGAATTTATATATATTTCCAGGGCTTTCTTTACCTAACTTTAATTGTCAGATTTATTTGCAGAACATTTTTTAATCTATTTTTTTATTTAAAGTCACTGAAAAGGTGATAATAAGCTTATATTGTGAGGCGATCAAAGCTGTAAAGTCAAAAAAGGAAAGTCACTTTTCATATATTCACAAAAAGAACACACTTTTTTTTTTTTTTTTTTTTTTTAGTAAGCATTTGTCATTCATGTCCATGAATGTGGCATATTACATCATCATAGTATATCAAGTTATATGCTTCAATTGAATTTAAGTTGGTGACATTATTGCATACAAAGCACCTCATGTTTGTTTTAACTATTTTGTAATTAAAATACTAATTGTGTCTCTTAATGATCACTTTGATTGATCAAACCTTCAGTTACCTGCCTGAACTTTCTTGACCCCCCAAATCAAGCAATTAATTAAAGAATCAATTGATTGATTAATTGTTTTAGGTCATAAAACACTTTTAAAATTACTAGTATATAGTTAGAGGTATTATATACCTTAAGGTTATTTCATCTTTCTTTGGAATCCTTTACCCAAAATTTCTGCTCAACCAGATCCTGTGAATTTCCTATTACTCTATACCAGTCCCTCATGGTGGTGATGGTGGTTATGTGCCATGGTTTCAGTTCTTGCTCATAGTGACCCTGCTTAGGGTTTCTGAGGCTGTAAATCTTTATAGGTGTAGAAAGCCTCATCTTTCTACCTCAGAACAGCTGGTAGTTTTGAACTGCTAACTTTGAGATTAACAGCTTTGACTCGTAACCATTACCTACCAGAGCTCTCTTATACCAGCCTATCATGAAGCTGATATATGCTACTCCTTTCTTTCAGTAACTCCGTATCATGCATTTTTACTTCTGCCTTATGTGATCTTCTGTACTACCTGTTCTTATAACTAAGAACTTAAGAATATCATATGTAATGTTTAGCTACTAAGTGAGAGATTGACAGTTCAAAACTATCTTGTCACTCCGTGGGAGAAAGACCTTGTGATCTGCTTCTACAAAATTATAGCCCAGAAAATCTTACAGATAGTTCCATGATGTCACATGGGACCCCTATAGTTAGAATTGACTTCACAGCAACTAATAGCAACAGCTAATGAGACATATTATAGATTAACTCTGTAACGGCAGATTAGATTTTTGAAACTCAAAAACAGTTGCTTCAGGTTTTGTTTTTTAGAACTGATATCTTGTATAGTAATGTTCTTCTTTATACATAGACATGTTCCTAATTTTTTCTTGTGTAAGAATAAATTGTGAATATTAAAGAGATGATCATTTTTAAAGGTAACAATGGGAAAGAATGTGTATGTGTATATAGTGAGATTATTTCATTTTTATTTTTTTCAAAATTTGACAGATTAAGAAATAGAATCACTTATTTAAGACCAAATAGATTTTAGTGCTTGTCACTTCAAATAGCATCTTTATCATAAGGCAATCAAAGTATCATATTTCCTTCTAGCCCTTCTAGTGAGTTTGGATTTTGACTGAGGAATAATAATAAAAAATACTTCCTTTTAACATGACAGAATAAACTGTCACATATACTCATTATGTTCATATAACACAGCAATATTAGAACAGGAGTGTTTTGTAAATTTGAAATTTTTGTGTAAAAATATGTTTTAAGTAAATTATGAGTAGATTTCTTTGACAAAATATAAAATTGCAAAACTGTTTACATCTGCAACTCTGAATAAAGTGCAAAATTTTTGCTTATAAAGCTGACTTAGTTCATTTTCAGTCTCATATCAATATGTGGTTATAAGTCGGGCTGCCAACCTCAAGGTCAGCAGTTCAGAACTAACAGCGGTTCCACTGGAGAAAGATGAGACATTCTGCTCCTGTGAAGATTTACAGCCTTGGAACCCCTGTGCAGAGTCACTATAAGTTGGAACTGACTCCAGGGTACTTAACAACAACAACAACATCAATAAGTAACTCAATAAATGTATATTTCATTTTTTCGTGGCCAATGAATAGGATGGGGCTAAAACTCCACCTCCTTCAAATCAATAATTTTACATACATTTTAATTCTTTTTCCCAAATAGTTTTTGAGTCACAGTCATCTTTACAACATGAGTGCCTCAAGATTTTTAGGTTTTGGAGTGTTGGCCTTGCGAGTTGACAATTAGACTAATTGAATACATTCTATAATACAGATTTTAATGGATAATTCAGCATCAAAAAGTACCTTTATTTTAGTTCAGTTAATATTTTTAGATCTTTAGTAAATTTAGAGGACCTTGGTGTTATAGTGGTTAGCCCTGAGCTGCTAACAGAAAGATGGACAAATTAAATTAGTTCATTTAGGAGATTTAGGGATTTAATAGGAAATCTTACCAAGATGTTGGAATTCCCCAGGGCATTTCTCCTGAACCAGCAATTTATTTAGCTTTGGAACATTGGTCCTTAGATATCTATTTGCTGAGACCTGAATATCCTAAAATTTCCTGAAGATATACAGCTTCTAATCTCCTCTGCCTCATTTCCGCTGAAAATTGTTTTGAAGAGCTTTTAGTGTCTTTAAAAATAGCCAACATTAACCAAGCGATTAACATGCTGATGATCAAAATAAAATATACCCCAAACTTGGTATACATCTCAAAACCTTTCCCTCTCATTTACTTTTTCGTATCTAATGGGATATTCTGTTCTGTCCTATCAAGGCTACCCTCACAATAGCCTTAAGTGACATTTTTCTTCCCATTTCTATTATTACCATTTTCGTCCAGGTTTTGTCACTTCTCTAACTACTGTTCTCTTTGATTCCAACCTTCCCATCCCTATCACCTGTGATTATCAATGCATTTTTATTGCATGCTTGATCAATATCAAACTGAAGAAGTTGGCAGAATTCTTCAATGTCATCTTACTGGCTTCAGTATTTAGTGCATAAATTTGAATAATAATCAATAATTAACTGATCTTTCTTGTAGGTGTATGGATATCATACTATCATAGCACTGTACCTCAAGATAGATCTTGAAATGTTCTTTTGGATGATGAATGTTGACCATTACTCTTGACCTTTTTGCTTCCCAAAATTACTATTCATGATTGTCAGATTCTAAATGGCCAATACCAGTCAATTTCAACTCACTAATGTCTAGGATATCAATATTATTCCATTTCATTTTGGACAGCTTCCAATTTTCCTAAAAAATATACTTTGAAAATTCCATATTCTAAACAGTAAATGGATGCTTACAGCTGTTTCTCCTCATTTTCAGTTGTGTTCCACCAGCAAATGAAGGTCACCCATAACAGAGTGGAAAAATGACTACCCTGTGCCATTCTTACAATTGTTGCTATGTTGTTGCCATGTCCACCAATGAGTGACACTGCTGGTATTCAAAATACTGGCAGCACAGATTCCAGCATTACAGTAATACACAAGCCACCACAGTTCAACAAACTCAAACAAATAGTGTACTTAGGCCAAGAGGAAATCTTTCAAACAGAAGATATACTGAAGGGTTTAAAATCAGGAAAAATGTGCAGCTGAGGTGTAGTCTTTCACCAAACTGAATCAATCTGTATGTTAAGCAATTAATACAAGAAACTGGATTATATGAAGAAAAGCATGGTATCATGGTTGGAAGAAGAGCCATTAACAACCCACAATGGGCAGATGATCCAACCTTCCTTGCAAGAAGCAGGAAAGCACTTAAAATAGTTAAAAATGAAGGCCAAAGGTAACAGCCTTAGGTATATATTGCACTTCAATGTGGAGCATACAATAATCCTCACCCCTGTACCAATAAACAACATCATGATAAATGGAGAAATGATAGAAGCTGTCAAATACTTCATTTTGCTTGGATCCACTATCAATACTCATGGAATCCAAAAGTCAAACAATATATTGCATTAAAACAATCTATTGTTCAAGACCTCTTTAAAGTTTCAAGAGTAAAGACATCAGTTTGAGGAATAAGGTATGCCTGACTCAAGTCATGGTATTTTAATAGTTTCATGTGCTTGCAAAACTTAGACAACAAATAAGGAAGACTATAAAAGAATTGATATATTTGATGTAAGGTGTCAGAGAAGAATATTGAAAGTACTATGAACTGCCAGAAGAACAAAGCTTGAAAGTACAGCCAGAATGCTCCTTAAAAGTCAGGATGGCAAGACTTCGTCTTTCACACTTCAGACACACTATCAGGAGGGACAAATCTCTGGAAAAGGACATAATGCTTGGTAAACTGGATTGCCAATGCAAAAGAGGAATACCTCAAGCGAGATGAATTGTCACAGTGGAGGCAACAATGGGTTCAACCTAGCAACAAAAGTAAGCACCATGTGGCCATCATTTCATTCTGGTAAGTATAGGGTCACTATGAGTTGGAACAGAGTCTGACACCTAACAACCAAAACAAGGGTCACCAATGGTGGACAGGTTTCAGTGGAGCATCTATACAAGAGAGACTAGGACGAATGAGACACAGACCACTTCTGAATGGCTAGCCTCGGAAACTCAGAATGGGTCACTGTGAGTCAGAGTTGACTCAATAGCACTTAACAATGACAACAAAACAAAAAGTTCAGCAGTTCTTATCCACTAGCTGCTCCATGAGAGAAAGGTGAGGCTGTTTGCTCACATAGAGATTTACAGTTGCCGAAACCCTAGGGAACACTTCAGTTCTATTCTGTTATATTATTTCTGTGCTTCAGAACTGATTCCATGGCAGTGGTTTTGTATTTGTTTTGGGTATGTTGAGGTGCAATCCATACTGAAGGCTTTAGTCTTTGATTTTCATCAATAAGTGCTTCATGTCTTCTTCACTTTCAGCAAACAAGATTGTGTCATCTTCATTTTCCAGGTAATGAATAAACCTTCCTCTAATCCCAAAGCACATTTTTCTTCATATATCCATCTTCTTAGATTATTTCTTCATCATGCAGATTGATTAAATGTGGAGAAAAGACATAACTCTGAAGTACACCTTTCTTGATTTTGAAATATTCAGGTTCCGTTTGTTCTGTTCGAATGACTGCTTCTTAGTCTGTTCACCATTTCCACAGGAGCATAATTAAATGTTCTAGAAAGCCTATTATTTGGAATGTTATCCATAGTTTGTCATAAAAATAATTTGAAAATCCAGTAAAACAAAAGTCAACATATTTCTGGTATTCTCTACTTTCAGTCAAGTTCTATCTGATGTCAGGATTGATATCTCTCATTCCATGTCCTTTGCTGAATTTGGCTTGAATTACAAGTAACTTTCTGTAGATATGTTATTGTAACAATTTAAAAAAATATCTTTAACATTTTATTTCCATGTGATATTAATAATACTGTCAATAATTTCTACATTTTGTTGGATCACCTTTCTTTGAAATGGGCACAAATATGGATCTCTTCCAAACCTTTAGTCAGATGTCTTGTAGATTTCATAGCTCTGATGAGTGTACACATCCCTTCAGCTCTACATCATTTGTTGAAATACATAAATTGCTATTCTGTCAGTTTCTGGAGCCTTGCTCTTTGTCAATGCCTTCAGTGATGATTGCATTTCTTCCTTCAGTACCATTGGTTCCTTTTCAGATGTTGTTCCTTGAAATGGTTAACATCAATCAATTCTTTGAGGTACAGTGACTGTGGATTCTTTCCTTCTTCTAATATTTCCAACAGCATTCAATATTTTGCTCATAAAACCTTCAATTGCTACTCAAGTCATGAGATTTTTTCTTCAGTTTTCTCTTTTTGATAAATGAGAGTGCTCTTCCCTTTTGGAGTTTTTTAACTTCAGATCTTTGTACATTTCTTTATAATACTTTGTCTTCTCTAGCTGCCCTTTGAAATTTTCTGTTCATTTCTTTCATGTCATCATTTCTTCCATTTGCTTTAGCTACTCTGCATTCAAGAGCAAGCCTCAGAATCTCTACTGACATCCAATTTATTTTTTTTCCCTATATTTTAGGTGATCTTTTGTTTTCTTCATGTATTTTGTTCTTGATGTCATTCCACAACTCTTCTGCTCTTCAGTCATTGGGGTTCAATGTGTCAAATCTGTTCTTCAGATGGCTTTAAAATTTAGGTGGGATATAATCTAGGTAATGTTTTGGCTTTCAGGGGTTTATTTCAATTTTCTTCAGCTTCAATCTGAACTTGCACATGAACTACTGATGGTCTGTTCCAAAGATGGTCCCTGTCCTTTTATGAATGTTGATAGTGAAATTCTTCATGATCTCTTTTTACAGATGTAGTTTATTTGATTCCTGTGTATTCCAATTGTCAGGTTCCACAGGTATAGCTATCTCCTATTGTTGAAAATGGTATTTGTAATGAATAATTTGGTGGTTTTGTAAAATCCTATCATGAGATCTCCAATTTGTTTTCTATTACTAAGGTCATATTTTAAACTACTTACCTTTCTGTTTCCAAATGATCACATATTTATGCTTATGTGAATAATTTAAGACTACAAAAATTCATAGAATTCATCAGCCTTGACTTTAGTGTTTGGTATGTAAATTTGAATAACTGTTATATTAACTGGTCTTCCTAGTAGGCATTTATGGATATTTTCTCATCACTGGCACCACTGTATTTCAGTATAGATCTTGAAATTCTCTTTTTGTACATGAACTTGATGTCATTCCTCTTCAATGAGTCATTCCTGGCATAATAAACCATATAATTGTTGGATTCAAAATGGTCAAAAGTAGCCCATTCCAGCTTAATAATGTCTGGGATATCAATGTTTATGTGTTCCATTTAATTTTTTTATGATTTAAAAATTTCCTAGATTCATGCTTTGCACATTGTACTTTCCAATTACAATACAGCTGGGTTTTTGTTGTTGTTGTTGTTGTTTTCATTTTAAGTTGTGCCATATCAATAAATGAAGGTTCCAGAAGCTTTGCTTTATCTACATCATTATGGTTGAATCTACTTTGAGGTGGCAGTTTCTCCCCAGTCGTGTTTTGAATGTGTTCTAACCTGATGAGATCATTGTCTGGCATTATATCAATGTTCTACTGTTATTCATGACATTTACACTTTCTGATTTTTCAGATGTACTCTAACTTCTCCTTATTCCTAGCCTGTCTTAATTTTGAAGCTTGACTGAAACCTGTTCATCAAGGGTGACCCTGCTGGTCTATAGCTTCCAACTTCATAGCAATGTACAAGCCATCAGAGAATGAAAACCTGACAGACAAGTTGTAGTTCATTTTTACACAGATAAAATATTTTCAATTTCAAAGGACTTTACAGGTAAAAAACAGAAGGTTAAAAGTTTGAGCTTTTTTTTCTTTAAAGTACTTCAAGGAGAAAAAGGAAGTACTATGCTTTTTCCAAGTGTGCATGTTTGTTGGAACGAGGGGGAGAGAGAAAATGAGAGACAAAAGAGAGAAAACTCAGTAGAAAAAAGAGAAAGAGAGAGAGATAGACAAATAGAAAAAGAAAGACAAAAGGAAAGAAAAAATGTGTGTTGAAGCAATATTAAGTAGGTGACATACGTGAATTGTTTTCTTATTTCCGAGCCCTAGAGATATAGTGGATTACAAATTGGACTGCTAACCACAAGGTCAACAGTTTGAATCCAGCAGCTGCTCCTTAAGAGAAAGATGAGGCTATCTGCTCTTGTAAAGATTCATAGCTTGTGTGGAGCTTGACGGCAAGGTCAGTCTGAACCACAAGGTAGGTAGTTCAAAGTCACTAGTCACTCCTCAGAAACCGTATACCAGGTCACTATGAGTCAGAACCAACTTGATGGCACTTAATAACAACAACATTGGATCACTATGACTCAAAACTGACCCAGAGGCACTTAACAACAACAATTAATTAATAACAGTAAAAATAATTTTAACAATAACAAGTGAGTTATACTTTAAAAAGAAAAAATACCTTGAAGAATTATATAGAGCTTTTTGTTGTTGTTAGGTGCAGTCGAGATGGTTCTGACTCATAGGAATCTATGCACAACAGAGCAAAACACCATCTAGTCCTATGTCATTCTCACAATCATTGTTAAGCTATAGTCCATTGCTGCTGCCAATGTGC